AGTTTAGTTATAAAAAATAAAGTGGTAATAAAAATACATAGTCAATTGCAAATAATTACTTTATTTAAATCCAAGTTGATATTCATTTTGCCAACAAAAAATCTCCTCAACCGGCTTTTGTTATAAAAATATTCGAACTTTTCTCGGCCACTGCAGAGAGCTAACTAAAAACGTCACTCTAACCAAACACAGTTCTCCCATGCAAATTTGTGAAATTGTTTTTTAATTATAAAATTAAATATTACTCAACGCTCTGATTTGCTTAGAGATTCGCAAACGAAAGACTCAGCTGCTTGTGCTTTGTAATTGTTGTTATCGTCAACAGCAAAGGGCGCTGAGGTGACGTTGCAATTGGATTACAGCCAATTTGAATCATGAAAAAAAAAAAAATTAAAATAAAATAAAAACAATGCAATATTACGTACGGATGCTTGGATGATGACGCATAGCAGCTCAGTCAGAAGGGATGTAACAAAGAAACAAAGTTAAAATTTTAAAGGAAGCTACAGTTGCTGAGAGCAACAAGGTACTGTGCACCTTGCCGAGCCAGCCTATATACAGATTTACAGTATCGGTCATATCTATAGCACGCCATTTCAAAGTGATATTGTGTGCAACTTATGTTTATTTATTTATTTTTGAGAATTTTCAATTAAAATACAGTTCTTTCTCTAATAAATCCAAGTTTAATAATTTGTAGAAAACTTCAAAAAAGTGCAACCAATTTTCACCTAAATTTCAAACTTTTTTCTCGGAAGTGTTTGAATTTTTCTGAATACACAGTTTTATAGCCCAATCAATTTTAGACTGATAATGTGCAAGTCTCAAGTGACTGAAAGTTACCGTTGATTTTTTAGAATTTTTTTCGCCAAAGGTGCTGCGGTTTTCATCCATATACAAATAAATTGAGTTTATTCATTATATGAAAGCCAATGTGACAAAAAAAATTCTAAAAAAATAACGGTAATTCGTAGCCACTTGAAATTTGACCATTATCAGACTAAAATTGCAGTGGCTAAAAAACTGTGTACTCAAAAAAATTGTGACACTTCCGAGAAAAAAGTTTGAAACTTAGGTGAAAATTTGTTGCCATTTATTGAAGTTTTCTACAAATTGTTAAACTTGGGTTTATATGGGGTTTGTTAGAGAAAGAACTGTATTTTAATTGAAAATTCTTAAAAATAAATAAATAAGCATAAGTGGCACACAATATCACTTTGAAATGGCGTGCTATAGATATGACCGATACTGCACGTACATAAATATCGCTCATTTACTTCAATAGTGTCATAACACAAATAAGCAAAACTCGAGAAAAACGGCTTTAAAGTTTTGAATTTACTACATATCCTCCCATAGTAAAAATTAACACATATTTTGTTCGAGTGAGATACTGGTAATCGATACAACTATGAAATTTTTACACAACACAAAAGAGATTATGACACTATTGAAGTAAATGAACGATATGTAGATACATACGTGTGTGCATAGATGCATATCGTCACCTGAAATGCAAAAAGCCGTAACTAATAAATTTTTATCAATTTTTTTGCATGAAACGATCTGGGGAATTTAAGAAAATGCATCATAAGCAATCAAAAAGTGAAT